TGTTTTCAAATCCAATTTCGTCAAAACAATTGTATTTTTTTCAATTTGACAGAGATGTGTAAACCAACAAAGATAAGATAAATAATTTAATACGAAATTAAATGTAATAATAATAGAAAATAATAATGGAGGTCTGAGCGGGCAAAAGTGAATCAAAAAGTTATGATCGTAAATGTGAAACATTTAAACTCTAAAAAATAAATACAGTATATACTCGCATATGTACTTTTTGAAAACCTAATTTTGAAGCTAATTTTAAGAGTGTCGCATCATCACAATAAGTATAAAATTAGCGTATGTATTGCCTGGCCCCTGACGAATGGAATTAACCAATATTATATATATTCAATTTTTAAGAAATATACAGCTGTATTTAAAATAAACATGATTTTGAAAAAACTGAAAATTTTTTAACTGTATCCAATAATAATGCACACAATATATTCACATATTATTTATCGTATTATAAAATACAAACATATGAATATGCATTTTTTCCATTGTTTATCCGTTATTCGTTTTTTATTTGTTTTGGCAATCTATGAATACATGACTTATTTTTAATTTTAACATTCTGTTTTTTTTTTTTTTTAAGAAGATAGGATAAAGAAAGGAAAAAAGGTTAGTAATATTTTAATTTGAAGTCTCTAAAAGGAACTCGATTATCTAATTTGAGATAATTGATAAAATCATTTTTTAATATAATATATGGGGTACAGATACACTAGATTGTGCAACCCCCAAATAATCTGTTAAAATATATATATATATATATATATATATATATATACACTGTCCAACATTAAAAATTTACAGTTGGGGAATTTAAAAAAATAATTCTGAAAAATTGATGACAATAGTTTAACTGTATCCAATAAAAATAACCACAATATGGACATTATTAATTTATCGTATTATAAAATACAAACATGGCGAATATGCATTTTTTCCATTGTTTTAAATTTATAAGATGTTTAGCTGTTTCTCGTTCGGTTGTTTATTTTAATTGTAAAAAACGAGTATACCGTTACTAATGATAATTTTATCATTCTGATTTTTTTTTTTAATTTTTAAGTAGAAGATGGGATAAAGAGAGAGAAAGGAAAAGAGGTTCGTCTATTAAATTTCCTAAAATAAAAGGAAATCGCATTATATACAAAAAGATAATTGATAAAATCATTTTTATAAGTAAACATTTGGGGTAAAACAATTCAAGAGATAAAAAACAACCCCAAAAAAATCAAACTGTTCTTTTATATTTATTACAAAAAGACAAATTTATATATATATTATTATATATATTATATATTTATATATATATATATATATGTGTATCATGTTATTTTGAATGTGTTTTTGTGCAATGAAAAAAAAATAAAAATCTAAAAAAATTAATCTTATAATTTTGAGAAAATTGATTTTTGAATAACTGTGATAATGTTGTCAAAAACGCATGCAATATGGATATTTTTATTGATTATAAAATACAAAAATGGCGAAATGCATCTTTTTTTCCATTGTTTAAGTTTATAAAATGTTTAAAAATTTCTATTTCGTTTTTTTTTTCCAAAACGCGTTTAGTCAAAATTAATAACGATTATATGACCATATTTTTCATTTTTTTTTTAACTTATTTAACTAGAAGATGAGATAATAAGATTATTAAAAGACGTTTGTCTATTGTAATTTGATCTCTCTAAAAAATTTTTCTTATAATGCACGAGATAATTAAATAAATATCATTTTTTTTTAAGTTATACATTTGTGGTTGCATAAACACGAGATAAAAGTTACACGAGACAAATTCAAAAAAAGAATCCCAAAAATAAAATAAAATAAAATAACACTCGAAATTAAAAAACCATTATTTTTTTTTTTATAGAAACTTTCGCTTAAAACAGGCACAAATATAATTAAAAATAATCGATCAAAAAAATAAATGACCGGTAAATTGATAACTATTACAGGCGTGACGTGGCAACTCTCGCGAGATTTGAGAAGTTTATCATGTCATCGGATATTTACACGAACTCTTTTATTTTTTATTAGTTTTTTTTTTTACTCGATATTCTTTTTTTTTGTCTTTATTAAAAGACAAGTTCTGTTAGAAAAAACTTTAATATTTATATCCAAATGAAGAACAACGGCGCCATCTTGATTCATGATAAAATACCTTCAAAAGGTTTGACATTGCTCGACTTTATCTGATTAATTATTTTCAACTTGACATGCCATTTCGCGTTGAATCACTTGTTTCTTGCAAACGGTATACGAAAAGCATTTTTCATCAAATCTGCCATCAGTACCAAGATGAACTAATGACTATTTGGGAATAACCAGATACCGTAATAATGCAAGGAAATTGTGACAAATATTTACGGTCCTAACAAAATTCAAAACATCGGTTCTCGTACGATCAACGAAGTTAAGAACGCCAAAGCCTGGTTGGTACCTAAATTTTTGACCGCCTGGAATTTAATGTTATCACAGAATTTGGATCTAAAAAAAATTTTTGTTCTATTTCTTTCAAAAAGGGAGTTGGTTATATTGAATGAAATATATATCTTGAAAATGTATTAGGGTTTTCTTCTCCCCAGCTATGGATTAATTATTAGGGTTTGTTTTTAAATTATCGCCCCAAAATTTTTACAAAAAAAATTATTTTTTGGTTTTAAATATTTGAATTAACAATTTCTGATCATGTCTAACGGATGTCAGTTTTTGTTATGTTCCTGTTCCATTATTTCAACTCTCAGTTATTCACCATCAGTTTTCCAGGTATTGAAAAAATCTTTAATTCAATTTCAAATTTAAAGTTAAACGTCTTTATCCATTTTATCATTGAATTTAATGGATTAAGTGGATAAAAGCGTAATTTAGATCCATTAACAATATTGCAAACGTTTTGTGTTCAATACCTGGTTAAAAATATTTGGAGAAATGGAGAAATAAATTAACAGGAGATAACTGACATCCATTAAACATGGCATTTGGAACTAGAAAGTCTACCCCAGTGATTGAAATAAAGGTTCAGTTCGACATTCCAACCACCTGAAGAAGACCGGAGCGTACAACGGCCGAAACGTTGTGATAAATATGGCAACAATGATGAGGTCAATAGTCTGAATAATGTGGAAAAACATTAATACCTCATCTTAAGAAATATTTACTGACAAATGTTAAAAGGTTGATAAACATTTAAAATAAATAATTTGATAATTTTGACAAGGCCATATCGGAGCAAAGGTCGGTCTAATGTGGATTCCACACGCGTCGGTATGTCTAGAGGTAAAATATTGCCCAGTTAAGTAGAGATTCGCAGCAGATAGTTAAATAGGGTCTCTTCTGTTCTTATGCCTTTAGTGGGTCGCTATTTTAAAACACTTCCAAAATATTTAAATTTTTTTGTACTCGTTCGATTTTGGTATCTCTGATTTGTAAGTTGCATGTTGGGCTCTTCCTTCTGCGGACGACATTACATACTTTCTTCTTGTAGTTGATGTTTAATTATTTTTTCTCGCTTTTCCTTCTTACCTTCTGCAGGAGTTTTGTAGTTTCCCTTTCCGTGTCTGCTATCAACACTGTGTCATCTGCATATCTTATATTGTTAAAATTGTGGCCGCCAATAATGAATCCTGATAGGCCTTGCAATTCTCTCAGAATCGCTTCGCCGTGTTAGTGAAATAATTACTGTGAGAAGGCACAACGTTGTGTTACACCCCTTTCTAGATTTGTATATCCGCTGAACTCATTTTCTCTCCGTATGCAGGCGGTTTGCTGCCAGTATAGAATCTTGATTATTCTAATATCGCCCCCAGACATATCAGGATTGCTGAGCAGACCCAATAGCTCGCACAAGACTTGAGTATCTACGATATATTGTGTGTTGTGGATATTTGGGTTCATCCTTTTGCTTACAACATTGCATTCTTTCTTCTTGCAGTTGATGTTTAAGCTTTTCTTTTCGCTTTTCTTCACTAGCTTCTGTAGGAGTTTTTGTAGCTTTCTTTCCTTCCATCAACACTGTGTCATCTGCATACCTTACGTTAAAATTGTGGCTTCCAATAATGAATCATGGTAAGACTTGTAATTCTCTCAGAATCGCTTCGCCGTGTTAGTGGAATAATTCCTGTGAGAAGACACAACGTTGTGTTACACCTCTTTCTATTTTTGTATATCCGCTGAACACATTTTCTCTCCGTATGCAGGCGGTTTGCTGCCAGTATAGAATCTGGATTATTCTCACATTGATCCCACATCAATTGCTAGAAAACGAAGAAAATGATTAGAATATAAATAGCCCCATTATTTTTTTGGACAATAAATCGACCTTTGTGTTTCTATCAAGTGTTTATTTGTTATTGAGTCAGAATGCTCGCAGATGTTATATTAGCCATTCTTCCTATTGTCTTTTATCAATTCATCCCAAGCAAGGTGATAATGCCACTAAGACGCAAGCGGTTACTAGTAGTGGACGAGAATGAGAAAACTTCAGATATAAACGGAAACCTAATCCTAATAGTTACAGAACTCTACACCTGTTCAAATGAGCAGTGAGGTGTGTGAACTTGGCGATGGGCGAACCTATCTACTCTTATTGAGGAAAAAAATTTAAAAATATATAGTAAATAAAATTTCAGAGTTTAAGCGGGGGCGTTAGAAGCATAGTGTTTGAAGTAGACTTTAGAAGGAACCGGAAACCCAATCCTAAACAGGAAATAAGGTCCAGAACTCTACTCCTGTTAAAAAAAAATAATGACATTTGTAAACCTGACGATATTGAGAAAAAAATAAATAAATAAAATTAGATAGTAAATTTCAGAGTTTGAGTGGTGACGCTGGAAGTGGACTTTACAAGGAACCGGAAACCCAATCCTAAACAGGAAACAATGAATAACCTTCTACTCCTGTTTAAAAGACCGATGTGGTGTGTGAACCGGACGATAGGCGAAGCTATCTATTCCTAAATAAAAAGGATTAGTGTTCCGTAATCTTAATTGATGGACTGTCTAGAAACACCATCTATATTCTCCCGGAGTGAGCTGTAAGTTTTTAAGCGATGTGATCTGTCTGTCATTTATCGTGGTTTTCTTCTGTCTCTTCCTGTAAAGACACCTGGGTCTTCTTAATGGCGAAATGTTCTTTCTTTCATATTTTTCAATAATTCATTCGCGTTTAATCTGCCCCTCCCCTCCCCCTCTCTCTCTCTATCTATCTATCTATCTATCTTAGTCACTTCATATCTATCTATCTATCTATCTATCTATCTATCTATCTATCTATCTATCTATCTATCTGTCATTTTTTAAATCATCTATCTATCTCTCAGTCACTTTATATCTATCTATCTATCTATCTATCTATCTATCTATCTATCTATCTATCAGTCACTTTATATCTATCTATCTATCTATATATCTATCTATCTATCTATCTCTCAGTCACTTCATATCTATCTATCTATCTATCTATCTTAGTCACTTCGTATCTATCTATCTATCTATCTATCTATCTTAGTCACTTCGTATCTATCTATCTATCTATCTATCTATCTATCGATCTATCTATCTATCTATCTAACAGTTTCATTCTATTTTCTTTATTTGTCAATTTTTCTTTCTTTCATTTTTTATGTTCTTTTTTAGATTTACTTTTTTGGCTTCATATTTTACAGATTATCTTTAATCTTTCTTTCTCTGATTTTCTTTCATTTTTTTTATTCTTTCTTTTATTTCTTTCTTTTGATCTTTTTTCTTTTTCTATCTTTCTTTTTATTTTAATTTCTTTCTTTTTATTTTACTTATGTCTTTTCTTTTCTTTTTCTCTTCTTTTCGTTTGTTTTTTCTTTCTTTTCCTTTTCTTCGTTCTTTCTTTTAATTTGTCTTCTTCTTTCTTTCCTTGATTATCTTATTCTTTCTTTCCTTCTTTCTTTTCTTTCATTCTTTCTTTCTTTCGATTTCATATCTTTTATCTTCGATTTCCATTTTTTTGTTTCGACTTTTGTTTTCCTTTATTTTCATTTTCTTTCTTTCTAACTTATTTTCTTTTTTATTTTCGTTCCTTTCTCATTTTCTTTTGTTTTTTGTTGTTTTTTTTTGTTCCCCTTTTTGGTTGTTTCATTCAATTTCTTTCGTTTTTCTTTTTTCGAACTTTTTTCTTTTATTTCTTTCTTTTGTTTTTCTTCCCTACGTTCTTTCCTTTATTGTAATTTCTTTATTTCTATTTTGCTTTCTTTTCTTTTCTTTTATTTCATTTTAATTTTTCCTTTTTTTCGTTCTTTCATTTAGTTTGCTTTTTGCTGTCTTTCTTTTAAATTTCTCTGTTATTAATTACAGATTTCTTCTTATTTAAGTTTTTTTTTTAAATCTTCCTTCCCGTCTTTTCAAACCCTTTATATTTTTTTCCTTTTTCACAAAATACAAAAGGTAATGCTGTTAGTAAAATCCAGAAACACGGTTAAAAATGTCAAATAACAGATAGATAAATACAGTCTCGAAGTAGGACTTCCTTAGAGTCTACGTGCTTGTAACTGACTTAACAAAGAGGTTACTTAACTCTATCCGACGACTGACACTCAGACGTCTCGGTACAAAACCTCTTCTCTGCCTGACTGTGACTATTTTATGTCAGCAGGACGAGTCCATTATATACGAAAAGGATAACATAACACTTAATAAAGAAGAAGAAGAAGAGGAAGAAGAAGAAGAAATATGAAACAGAAAAAAATGAGAGCAAATTTTTATTATTTACCTTGTACAATTAAACACTTTTCGCATTTTGCTTTGAAAAAATCGACATTGGACGAAACGCATCAGCAATTACTAGTTTTCTTAATGCCATTTTTATTCACACACACACACACACATATATATATATATATATATATATATATATATAGCTGAAACGTTATTATTAGTGGATACCCATAATTTTGTAAATGCTCTGTTCATTTATTAAACAGTAAATTCATTTAGTTTCGTCTGTCCGCCTGAATATTAGAGAAATCTTATTAAAGAAAAGTATGCGCCCTCTGGCAGGATTCGAACCTGCGTCCCTCTTGGCAGGAGAAACTATCGTTAAATCCGACGTTACGGCCGCAGAAGTGCATCGAAGAACGAGCAATGTTGAATAGTGCCTGATGAGCAGAAATCTTTTTTCAGGCACTCTGCCCAGTTATTTAGCCTAACGTAAACACTTCAATTTCTAAAGAAAAAGAAAGAAAGAAAGAAAGAAAGAAAGAATGGATAAATGGGTCAAGAAAGACAGAGTGGATGTATAGGCCAGGAAAAAAAGAAACAAAGAAACAACAGTTGGATGAATAGATGAAAACGAAAAAAAAAAAAAGAAAGAAAGAAAGAATTGAAAGAAAGAAAAGAAAAAGGAGAAAAGAAAAGAAAAGAAAGAAAAGAATGGATCGATGGATGGATACGCCAGGAAAAAAAGAAAGAAATAATGAATGGATGAATAGGCCACGAAAGAAAGAAAGAAAGAAAAAAGAAAGAAAGAAAGAAAGAAAGAAAGAAAGAAAGAAAAAAAGATAGATAGATGATGATAGATAGATAGATAGATAGATAGAAAATTAAGAAAGATTTAGATGAAAGGAAAAAAAGAATTGTGAAATGAATGGGTGAAAATGGATGGAAAGAAAGAAAGAAAGAAAAGAGAGAGATAGAATAGAAAGTAATTAAAAAAAAAAGAAAGAGAGAGAGAAAGTAATTAATGGATGAATAAAAAAAGAAAGAAAAGAAAAAAGAAAGAAAAGAATGGATGGATGGATGGATGGATGGATAAAAAGGAAAAAAAGAAAGAAAGAAAATAATGAATGGATGAAAGAAAAAAAGAAAGAAAGAAAAGAAAGAAAAAAGAATTGGAAGGAAGAAAAGAAAAGAAGAAAGAATGAAAAAGAAAGAAAAAAAAAAGAAAGAATGGATGGATGGATGGATGGATGGATGGATTTTAAAAGAAAGAAAAAAGAAAGAATAAAATAATGAAAGAAATGAAAGGATGAGAAATCTTTTAAAATGAAAGAAAGAAAAAAAAGAAAAAGAAAAAAATTGAAAAAAAAAAAGAAAGAAAGAAGATAGATGAAAGAAAGAAAGATAGATAGATGAATAGATAAATAAATAAAAGATAGAAAGAAAAGATAGAAAGAATGAATGGATGGAAAGGACAGGATGGGAAAAGAAAGAAAGAATGAATGGGTGAAAAGAAAGAAAGAAAAGAAAGAAAGAAGAAAGAAAAAGAAAAAAAAAAATTTTTATGAAATGGAAGAAATAGAAGAGAGATGAAAATAAATTAAGGGAAAGAAAGAAAGAGAAAAGATAAAAGAAAAAAAAAAAGAAAGAAAGAAAGAATGATTTAAAAAAAAAAAAATGAAGATTGAGTTATTAAGAAGAAAAAATGTTCAAATTTTGTAAAATAAAAAAAGGAAAATGAAGGAAAAAAGATGATTTGAAAAATTCCTTGAAAGCAAAAACTGGAAAAAAAAGGCATGGACAGAACATTAACAAAAAGAAAAATGAAGAAAAGAAAAAAAAGAATCTTTGATAAGGGTAGTAATGCGAGAAACATTAAAATTGAAAAAAAATGAAAGTTATATAAAGATAATTTTGAAAAAAAGAAATGAAAAGAATAAAAGTTTAGAAAGCAGTAAATGGAAGAAAGAAATGAGAATCTTTTGATATTGATAAAGCCAATTTTTGAAAGTTTTGTGAAAGTGTAAAAATGAAATGAAAGAATAGCAAAGAACAAAAAATGAACAAGAAAGATGAAATGAATCTGAACAAAAATGAATGAAAACGATCGAAAAAAAAAAGAAAAGGTTCGCCATTACAATTGAATGAATCGAGCTTGTTGAACGGACGAAAGAAAATCCTTCTTCGAAAGATAGAAAAAAAGGACATTTTAAACTACTCGATGAAATCTCAGATTTTCGACGCGGTAGTGTACTAAAATTTATCAAAATAAAAGCCTCTGAATGAATGGAAACGTTGATAACATTAAACTTTTGACCAGAGAAATCGAATCATTAAAAATTTCGAATGAAAGAATGTCTTAAGATTGAAAAATTGAAAAAGATAGAATGTGTATATTAATCAGGAATTTGGTCTGATTGAAAGAAACGTTTGAACCAATACCTGAATCCAAACACCGACCTTGAGAAAATTCTAAAATTAAATAATCAACTTTCAAAACAATCTAAATAGAAATTATCCTGGACGCATTATTTTTATTATTTTCGACGCCGTTGAATTTTCGAAAACAAAAAAACGTCGTGAAGAAATAACTGGTCTTAAAATATTTGAGCTTATAACAAAGACTGTATTTTTTACTATCACATCTACATTACCGCTTGTTTTTACCGTTGATTTACCGATTACCAGATCTTAGCGGGTATGTAATTCTTTGCTTTCTTTCATTATTTAAACACTAATCTGTAAACAGACGGTCACCAGGTTTAATTTACCCACCCCAAATAATAGCTGAAACGCCAGACATTTGGAGTTTTCAGTTTTCTATGAGTTTATAAAGTTAATTAGCCGTTTCCTTATAAGGAAACCTTTGTCATTCAATGATCAAATTCACAATTTATTTTATGACGAAAAGGATTGGTTCCTAAATCTTTCGTGAACTCACAATTGAGACTCATTTAAAGCGAACTTTTTTCACAATGTGAAAAAAAACAAAACGGTGTTTAGAAGTAAATAAAATTTTTTTGTTTTTTATAACCAACTGCTAAATTTTAATTAAAGTAGAGATGAGTTTTGCACAGTCTTCGAACAAAGATCCTAAATAAAACTTTAGATTTCAAAACTGATTGTTTCTCCAATTGGATAAGTTTATTTCAGTTTTATAGATTAACAGTTTTTTAAATCTTGTCATCTTCAAAAAAAATAAAATCCTAAGATAAGGGATAAAGAATTTTTAAAAATCAATCATGGATTTTGAGTTGACTTAAAAAAATGGTTTTCACAACTTTTTTGTCTTCGCTCATTAAGTAAATCTATGATATCCATATTTTTTGCGACATTTTTTATTTTAAATTTTAAAAAAAGATCAGTGTTACTCATATTGCTACAAGAAAAAATTGGTTTATATTTTAAAAAAACATTAATTGTGGAGACATATCAGTAATGTTTTTTGGTTGACATTTATAAATGAATTCTCCTAAATTTTATTTTTTATAAAAAATAGGTTTTCAGAAAAAAATTTGTCAGTAACTGTTAAATAATTTATTATTTAAGCTTTTTATTTAAAAATATTTTTTTTTGTTTTATCTGAATATCAAACTTAAAATAGGTTATTTAATAATCAAAAAAATTTTTATTGCTGTTTGTTTTTTTTTTTTTAAAAAAATATTTAAAAAAAATTTTTGACCAAAAAAATGTATATTGATGGTATATTTTTAAAAAAGCATTTTTGTAATAACGTTTTTTAAAATAATTTTTTTTTTCAAAAATATTTATGAAAGTTTAAACTTTTAAAAAATATATTTGCTGGTATTAAAACCTATTTTATAAAAAAATTTGGGGTTATCTTTTGCAAATTTGGGATTTTAACATTTTACCACCCCAGGTCAGATTTAAGAATAGGAAGACCAGTAATTTAAAAAATTGGTTTCCACGCTCATCAAAACCTGGAAAGAGGCCTTTCTTGTCGGATTATTAAACCCTTTACCCAGGACTTGGACAATATAATGGAGTTCATATTTGCCATAAAAATGGACAGACAAACAGGTAGATTCTTTAAATTGGATATGGGAATTACATCAAAATAGATAGGTTGAATCCACGCTCCTAAAAAAGATGTTCAAAGCTGTTGGATTTTTATTTTTAATGACCAGGACGTGTTTGGTTTGTGGGTTAACAATATTTGGCCATAGCTGGGATAAAAACCGAGTTTAATAATATATTTTATATCTTCCGTTTAAGATATGGGGTTGTAAAACCAACTATTAAGAGTTGAATCCATTTTCTCAAACATTTGATTATAAAGCCTTATCTGTTGGATGTATCAATCGTCTTTAAATAAATATAAAAAATTTATATAGGACATTTGCCATCAAGCTGGGATCCAAACATTTGTGCTCATTTGAGGAAAGGGTGGATAATCATGGGAACATTAAATATTAGGATTTTGAATCACGCTCCTCAAAATCATTAGCCTTTGTATAAAAAGCAGTTTATCGTCTTACACAGGACGCGGACTGGTGGGTGGGTTAACTATAAAAGTAATATGCTGGGATCTTAACAGGTGAAACCCCAGGTCAGGGTGGATATTTAACAAAAAATGTATATAATTAAAAGTTGAAATCAGAAAACCTAAATCAAATGTGAATATGGCCTTCCTGTTGGATGTAGTTCATCGTCATGACCAGGAGGGTTTCTACTGTTTGATTATGCCATTATTTTGTCTTCCCGTTAGATCTTGATATCCATTTTAAAATGACCATATTATGTTAAAGGATTAAAAGAAAATTTTTTGTTATTTGATAAGACATTTTGTTTGAATTCCGTAGCGCCAGCTATCAAAGTTCAAATCAAAATCTTCAAAAGCCAATTATGAAAGGTTTAATCGATGAAACTGAATCAAAGTCCGTTGAAAATGAAATAAACCAGCTAATTAAATGACATGAAAGATATGTTGAATAGGTTTTGCGTCATGAGTGACAAAAATATTGTAATAGGATATATATAAATGGGTCTACCTTAAAAGAGGAATGAAGTAATGGACACAAAATGTATACAATTCAATATAGAAAAAGGAATCAAGCAATTTCGCTTACGGTCAGAAATCAAACAGTTAAAAAAAAAATTAAACGCGTTAAATGATTAACCCGAAGAGGAAAAAAATTAAAAGACCATAAACGATATAAAAGGTCTTCTTTATATACGTCATGGGTCAAGACTATAACTGGAACAGAATGAACTCTTCCTAACACTATGTATACTACGCCTCTCAAGAGAGATCGAATCGAGCCGAGCTTCTCGGCTTGATTTGGTCGAACTCTCAGCCTCTGAGCAGAGAGGAACCCGGACGAGGCTCCGCCGAAGGGTAGAGCCTCGTTCGGGGAGGTTGACCAACCCGATCCCGTTTATACGGGTTCTACGGGCATTTTTTGGCCGAGCCTACGGGCTCGGGAAGCACACGTTAAACTCGGCCTTGTGCCACATGCAATCCTCGTGGTGGTGGTGGGGGGTGCTAGATACCGAATCGAGCCGAGCTTTTCGGCTTGACGGTCGAATTCTCTGCCTCTGAGCAGAGAGGAACCCGGACGAGGCTCCGCTCTCGTTCGGGGAGGTTGACCAACCCGATTCTGTTTTTACAGTTTCTACGGGCATTTTTTGGCCGAGCCTACGGGCTCGAAAAACCCACGTTAAACTCGGCCTTGCGCCATATGCAACCCTCGTGGGGGGGATGACTAGATATTGAATCGAGTCGTGCCGATAGTAGTTCACTCCAAACCAGACTGACAGTCATACTAACACCTTCCACATCTTGTATTATTATTTCGTGTAATATACCTTTGTTATTTCTACTCTTGTGTTCGTGTTGTTCTTCCTTGGTACTAACCTGGAATATAACACATATGAAACTCTCAATCTGAGGGGAGTCTATTTAGGGACATGATTCGTGTTCCTCGGTGAAAGTCATTGGTTTTGTAGCTTCTTGTGGCATCAGACAAAACTAACCCTAATATAGCCTAGTCTATGATCAATGGAACACTGAATTGATACATTTTCTCTATAGATTTTCACTGCTATAACTTTCTGAGACTGTTTTCGATATACTCTTAATTGAATTATGGTTATTCGGGCAGTAGCATCCAAATTTTAGAGAAGCAATAAAAACCGGTTCATGTGTAACAAATTTATCTGTGAAAAAATGAGACTACATAATTTATTGTTTGTAGAAATGATCTTAAATTCTTAAAGAAAATCTTGGATGAATAGCGAAACAAATGCTCGCCAACTATAAGGTCACGATGGAAATGTAATGCAATATCGCCAGTTTGACGAGTCTGAGTTCTTAGAAACAAGGGAAAAAAAAGAGAAATGTAAATTACAAAGGATGAGGAATACAATTGAATATTTAAAAAAAATTTTACCATGATAGATAATGCCTAGACAAATCAAACATCAATAGACAGACTGATATATATATAAAATATATATATATATATATATATATATATATATATATATATATATAATAGACTTTATAGATAGATAGATAGATAGATATCAATAGATAGATAGATAGATAGAGATATATGTAAACAGATCAATCACATAGTTATACACGAATAGATAGACAAATATAAATAGACTAATATAGATTAAGAAGATAGATAGATAGATGTGAATAGACAGAGATAGATACATGGACGTAGACATAGATAGATAGATAGATGATAGATAGATAGAAAGAGATATATGATAAATAGAAATGAATGAATAGACTGGTGTTACATATATATGTCCAATAAACAGACAAAATAGATAGATAGATATAGATAGATAGATAGATAGATGAGAATAAAGACTGAGATAGATATGAAAGATATATGATGAATCCTTTTAGCTATCTTAAATAATATATGTATGAGACTGAGATAGATAGATAGATAGATAGATAGATAGATAGATAGATAGATGAATGTAAATAGACTGAGATAGATAGATTTAGATGTAGATAGATTTATAGATAGATAGATAGATAGATAGATGATAGATAGATACACATATAGATAGATAGATAGATAGACTTATTTATAAAAACAGATCAATACATAGTTATACACGAATAGATATACAAATATAAATAGACTAATATAGACTAAGATAGATAGATAGATAGTATGTGAATAGAATCTATTAGATAGATAGACATCAATAGACATATAGATAGATAGATATATAGATAGATAGATAGATAGATATATATATGATATATGAATGAAATAGATGAGAAAGATATACAGATATATGTGAAGTTTTTACTATTATAGATAGATAGACGTAAATATTTGAGATAGATAGATAGATAGATGTAAATAGACTGAGATAGATAGATAGATAGATAGATAGATAGATAGATAGATGTAGATAGACTGAGATAGATAGATAGATAGATAGATAGATAGACTGAGATAGGTAAACAGATCAATACATAGTTATACACGAATAGATAGACAAATATAAATAGACTAATATAGACTAAGATAGATAGATAGATAGATAGATAGATAGATAGATAGATGGATAGATAGATAGATAGATAGATAGATAGATAGATGTGAATAGACAGAGATAGATACATAGACGTCAATAGACATAGATAGATAGATAGATAGATAGATAGATAGATGAATAGATAGATAGATAGATAGATATGAATAGACTGGTATACATAGATATGAATAAACAGACATAGATAGATAGATAGATAGATAGATGAGAATAGACTGAGATAGATATACAGATATATGTGAATAGATTGAGATAGATTCACAGACATATGTGAATAGCTAGCTAGCTAGATAGATAGATGTAAGTAGACTGAGATAGATAGATAGATAGATAGATAGATAGAAGATAGATAGATAGATAGATGTAAATAGACTGAGATAGATAGATAGATAGATAGATGTAGATAGACTGAGATAGATAGATAGATAGATAGATAGATAGATAGATAGATAGATAGATGAACATTGACTGAGATAGATATTACAGACATATGTGAATAGATTGAGATAGATTGACAGACAGGTGTGAATAGATAGATAGATACGTAGGCTAACCTCCACGTGATAATCTTATCCCGCCTTCGTGATTTCACGTTATCCATTGACGTGAGCGATCATAATCAATCATATTCTAGGTCGTCTGCTAGGTGTGTTCGCTCACTGCGTCGCGCCAATGATTTCTCTTCATTTTCACCGTTTATTCACATCTACCGTTTGCCTTCCATTGGATCCTGCAACCATATCTGGTCTGGTGAACTTGCTGAATATCTCGATATTCTTGACAAAATCCAAAGAAGCTTCTGCAATTTTATAGGTCCTAACCTAGCATCTCGACTTCAGTCACCTCCCCACTGTTTTTTTTATAAATATTTCCAGGGCGACTCTTCTAACGCGCCTTACTTCTTTGTACGTCGACCTTGTGAATTTAAGCGTACCATTAGATTGGCAAATAAGTTTCATCGTTTTATTATTGAAATAGACAAAACCGAACGTTATATTCGAATATTTTCTTCTTTCACACTTCTCGCCTGTGGAACTCAAACAATGGATTCAAGCGCCCTACGAGTCTGGCATCCCGCTCTCACCCTTTCACTGTCGAAACTACTAAATGTAGCCGTCTCTTCTACTCCAATAGCTTCATGTCTCGCACCTCTCGCCTGTGGAACTCCCTTCCCTATTCCTGTTTCACTGATAGCTCTAATCTCCAACTATTCAAATGTAATGTCAATCGACGTCTCCAGTTGCCTTGATCTATCCACTATCCTTCTCCTGATCCTTTCCTCTATCACTCCTATCTGATCTTCTGTAACCCCTTGCGTCCTAGTGGCTTCCCGCCTTGTGAAACGCTTAAAATAAAATAATAATATTTGAAGTGAAATTCTGAAAGAGATTGACAAAAAATTAATAAAGAAGACACGTTAATCCTTACGAATGCCTACAATATTTTAATGCCGTCATTATAATAGTAAGATATTAGGAGACTATTAAAAACTTTATTCTAACACCGGACACTATTTTGCGAACAGCCTACTATTCTATTGATATATTAGAATCCAAAGACATTACTTTCCGAACAGCCTAATATTATAATTGTTGTGTCGGAAACCTACCACCCCTCTTGAAGATGAACTTGTCTGTGTCTGTGAACAAAGACTTTAAATAGTGGCATGTCAGTTGACATGGGGAAGACAGATAGACAGAGAAGTTCTTAGCTGAGCTAGTTATTGACTACTCAGGCGATTTCTGTACCTTTTTACCAACCTATTAAAACCCTTTTTATTGTTACGTGTTATTTGGCGTTTGTCTCTACTAACCTCAAATCAACATCATAACAATAATAATTTATTAGGACTGAATTAAAAGGTTTAATAAAAATCGGACATTATTTTCGAACAAGCGAATATTATAACATATTAGAATCCAAAGATTTATTTTAAAACCAGACATTACTTTCCGAACAGCCTAATATTATAATTTATTAGGACTGAATTAAAAGGTTTAATAAAAATCGGACATTATTTTCGAACAAGCTAATATTATACCATATTAGAATCCAAAGATTTATTTTAAAATCACACATTACTTTCCGAACAGCCTAATATTATAATTTATTAGGACTGAATTAAAAGGTTTAATAAAAATCGGACATTATTTTCGAACAAGCTAATATTATAATAATATGTTGGAGTACAAAAGATTATCAGACATTACTTTTCGAACAGCCTAATATTATAATAGACGATTGGTACTAAAAAACAAAAAACGTTTATTCTAAAATCGGATATTATTTTCGAACCATCTAATATTATAGTATAGACAAAACTCCCATCAACGGACTCCCCATCAAAGGACTCCCCATCAACGGACTTAAGATGCAACCGAAAAAACCTGCAGGCAAAATAAAATAAAAAAATCTGTAGGAAAAAAAACAACAAAAAAACACTTCCAAATTGTCAGCAATATATTTCAAATTTTCGGGATTAGCGGAACGAGTCTTATTGGTTCTCAGAATCACCGCTTGGCGGCGGTGGCGGCCTTTTCAATAGTAAACACAAAGACGGGTTTACAGTATACAAAGTACAATATATTAGCGCGTGTGTGAGAAAGTAGCTGTTAGAAATCTTATTATTTTTGTTGTTTTGATTAATATATTTATTAAGTATTTAGTTATTTATGCCATATATACATGTTTATAGTATTTACATTATGATCTGATAGTTATTATAATGATTTTATAACTCAAAAATAATCCCTTCCTATCTACGGTCAATCGGCTTTAACGGACCACCCCTTCCCCCTATCAGTCCGTTGATGAGAGGTTTCTCTGTTATACATTAGAATACAGAAGTCTATTTTAAATCCGACATTATTTTCCGAACAGCCTAATATTATTAATGGATTAAAACACAGTTAAGAGGTCTATTCTAAAACCGACATTATTTTCCGAACAGCCTAATATTATTAATGGATTAAAACACAGTTAAGAGGTCTATTCTAAAACCGACATTATTTTCCGAACAGCCAAATATTATTAATGTATTAAAACAAAGTTAAAAGGTCGATTCTAAAACCGACATTATTTTCCGAACAGCCTAATATTATTAATGGATTAAAACACAGTTAAATGGTCGATTCAAAGGCGATATTATTTTCCGAACAGCCTAATATTATTAATGGATTAAAACACAGTTAAAAAGTCGATTATAAAACCGACAGTATTTTCCGAACAGCCTAATATTATTAATGGATAAAAACAGTTAAAACATCGATTCTAAAACCGACATTATTTTCCGAACTGCCTAATATTATTAATGGTTTAAAATACAGTTAAGAGGTCTATTCTAAAACCGACATTATTTTCCGAAAAGCCTAATATTATTAATGAATTAAAACAAAGTTAAAAGGTCGATTCTAAAACCGACAGTATTTTCCGAACATTCTAATATTATTAATGGATTAAAACACAGTTAAGAGGTCTATTCTAAAACCGACATTATTTTCCGAACAGCCTAATATTATTAATGGATTGAAACACAGTTAAGAGGTCTATTCTAAAACCGACATTATTTTCCGAACAGCCTAAAATTATTAATGGATTAAAATACAGTTAAGAGGTCTATTCTAAAACCGACATTATTTTCCGAATAGCCTAATAATATTAATGGATTAAAACATAGTTAAGAGGTCTATTCTAAAACCGACATTATTTTCAGAAAAGCCTAATATTATTAATAAATAAAACAAAGTTAAAAGGTCGATTCTAAAACCGACATTATTTTCCGAACAGCCTAATATTATTAATGGATTAAAACACAGTTAAAAGATCGATTCTAAAACCGACATTATTTTCCGAACAGCCTAATATTATTAATGGATTAAAATACAGTTAAATGGTCGATTCTAAAACCGACATTATTTTCCGAACAGCCTATTATTAATGGATTAAAACACAGTTAAAAGGTCGATTCTAAAACCGACATCATTTTCCGAACAGCCTAATATTATTAATGGATTAAAACACAGTTAAAAGCTCTATTCTAAAACCGACATTATTTTCTTATTATATAACAGCCTAATATTATAATAATATACGAGAACACAACTGATTATTCTAAATTCAAATACTATTTTCGAAACAGCCTGTTATTATAAGATTAGAACACAATTAAAAGTTTTATTCTAAAATCGGACATTATTTTCCGAACAACATAACATTATAAAATATATATTAGAACACAAAGAAATTATTTAACATTATTTTTAGTTCATGATTTTCAGAAGAGCCTATGAATAACGAAAGATTAAAGCCGCGTGTTCTCATTATATCGGAACACCGTCTTTCTTAAGCAATGACAAAGAAGTAGAGCAAACGGTCAAAAGTTATTTAGAGTAGTTGTGACTAGCCATGTCAGCTGACCTTCTGAAAGGGCAATGCACAGAATCGTAATAAATTGAACAATCATTTTGACCAGGTTAATGCGCAATTGTGTTCTCATATTGAAATCGCACTATATGCAAGATTTTTTACCCACTCATGAGATGTCTTTGATAAATGTCTTAATTACCAAAGGGTAAAATTCAGCAGATTCTATCTTCAGCCCCCACTTCGACGTCATTAAATCTTAATCTTTTATTTTTAAACGCGTTATCATTTTCTTAAAATGGCTTCTGTGTTGACGCGTTGTAATTTTTGGGGTTTCTCTTCATTGCTTCTCCTGTTTGTAAAAGACATGTCGAAATTCTACATATTTGAACTTAACAGAACACAATGTGTGTTTGTCAGAACGAGGAACAGACCAAAATGAAGAATTGGAGATGTCAAAAGAAATCAAGTACGAGAAAGTCAGATATCTGGAAAGAGAACGAAAAATGCGAACGCGAATATTCGAAGATGCATTGGAATATCAAAAAGATTCCGTCAAAAAGGGAGAACAATGAATTATGGTAAAGAAAAGTCTTGTTACGAACAAATAAAAAGTAATTAACTTCTGTGTAATATCAGTCCTTCTGTATGGCAGGGAATGCTGGACAATTTCCTCACAGATGAAGAGGAGACTTGAAGCAAGAGAAACAAAGAAAAGAGTGCTGAACTGCTATGTAATATCAATCCTCTTATATGGCAGTGAATGCTGGACAATTTCCTCACAGATGAAGAGGAGACTTGAAGCAACAGAAACAAAGAAAAGAGTGCTGAACTGCTATGTAATATCAATCCTCCTATATGGCAGTGAATGCTGGACAATTTCCTCACAGATGAAGAGGAGACTTGAAACTAGAGAAACAAAGAAAAGAGTGCTGAACTGCTATGTAATATCAATCCTCCTATATGGCAGTGAATGCTGGACAATATCCTCAAATACAAGGAAGTGTCTTGAAGCAACAAATTAAAAAAAAGATTACTGAACAGCTATTTAATATCTGTGATAATGAATGCTGGACAAAGTCCACGTAATTAAATTGGAAGCTTCAGACAACTGATATGCGATACAATAGATGACGTAACATGTGATCAATGAGGAAGTTTAAAGTAAAATGGAAACAAAAATGAAAATTCTACTTCGTATCAGTAAGAGGCAGTTGACACATTTCTGTGACACATGAT